CCTGCTGAGGCAGACTTCTGACTGTTTTTAACACTAGGTGCTACTTAGAGACCCTGTTCCTTATGGAGTGAAAAGCACAAGGTGATAAGTGGCAGGGAGGACCTCTGACTTGAAACTAAAGGCTAATTTTAGCCTCCTTTATATGTAGCATTGCTTAGATGAAAGAAAAAGTTTATTCACTCGCAAATAGACTTGTACTTACTGCAGTTTTCTTCATCGCTACCATCTGGACAGTCCTCAAAGCCGTTGCACCGGAAGCGGCCAATGATGCAGTGGATTCCACTAGCACAGGGGAAAAACGTGGCACCACATTTGGATTTGGCTTTTGCTAAAAGAAGTTATATACAGAAAAGGACAAAGATTAGGAAAACATTTTTAAAAGGTTAAAGACACTTATGCAGCAGTATAAGTTAGGGTATTCTACACAGTGCTGACAGCTCCGATATTAAGCTCGTTCCAAGCTTCCCATGATCCTGCTTTCAGCTGCTTCAAGTTTTTCATGAGTTTTCACTTGTTTGAGCTGTTTGGGTTTTTTTTCCAATTTATGTAATTTCCAGAATGACGGAAACATTCAGACTTAAAAACAAGTAAATGGCTCCTCAGAACAGCTTTAGATTCCCCTCTGCTTTGGAGTACACGCTTGTGAATTTGGCAAAGAGGGACTTCTAACTGTCCCTTAAAAATCCATACAAATTTAAACAAGTTAGAAGTCTTGGAGGAAAGTTATTAAAATAGACGCTCATACATCGGAAAACAACAGCAACTACCTCTCTTTGTATGGAACTATCTGTGTGACCATTCCAACTCTAAATTGAAGAAATGGACTCCTAAATAGAAGGGATTAAGCAGACCCTAACACGGCAGACCAGAGGGCCATGGACCTGCTGTCAATCCTCAGCTGCAAAGTCCTAGCAGGACCAGTCTTAGCCCCTCCAAACCTGTAGCTATCCATCGTGCTGAGCCCACACACACTTAATAGCAGCAAAAAGCCTCTTTTTTTAAATTTTTTTTAAAAACACATCACCAGTGCTCCCTCTTGCTGGCTCAGGGAAGTCTAACAGTGAAAAGTCCAAGGCAGACAGGGACAAGGAACATGGCAGCAGGTTAGGAAGAAAGAACAGAAATTTGGGATCTGGAGGCAAACTTGGGCAAAGACAGGAGTACAAGGAGCCAGGAAACAGCTGGAGAGGGAAAGGGGGAATATAGAAGTATGAAGGAGTTAGTTTTTTGGTAGACGCTAGATAGTTACGTAGGAGGCCTTCATAAGAGACCTACATAAGAGACTGCAAAGAACTGAACTCAGAGAAAAGGAAATGCTAGAACTAACGCTGCCTTTACTCGGAATAATTTACATAAAACTGGGTGCAACAGGAATATTACCTAAATTGCATCTCTTAAAGTACATCTCTCCACATGGTTCCCATTATAAAGCTCTTCATGACAAGAAATAATTCTTTTTTCACAGTACCAGCACACTGACGCATAACACTAAATACTAACAATGGAGCCCAAATGTATTTAACAAATGAGATAAAATGAGATTCTATAATCAAGTACTTCACATTTTGTACTTCACTGCACAGCAGCTCTTCATGGCAAAAAGAAGAGAGCGCTGCCTTCAGCTAGAGGAATGCAGATGCTTCCACCACACTGCTCGAGGCAAGCATCAGTTAAGTCTTGTCCTATCGCCACCCTAGAACAAAGCAGCTCCCCAAAGTAAATACAATTTAACAAGACGTGGTTAAATTTTTCCCCTCCTTCTCCATTTTCGAATTAGCATGCGACTAACATTTTCTGCACGGGATACTGAACTCTTCAGAAAGTCCCCGCTGAAGCAAAGGCAGCCACCAAGGCGACAGCTAACTGCAGAGATGCATGGGCTAACTGCAGAGATGCATGCAGAAAGCAACAGGAACACGCAGCAATAGCGATGCACAGAGCAGTGACAGGAGAACAGCAGAAAAACAGCCAGCTGTGTAACTTAATGGATTTTGAGTAAGTTTTTCGTACTTCCACACCAAATATACACTATGCGTTTACAACTCTTGGATTTTGAGATGTGCGAAGCTGAAGATCACAGTGACAGGCAGTGTCTTTATGTAGCCATGAGGCATACTGATAGGCCAATTCACGCACCTTTCTAAGGCAAAGTCAGGGAAAACAGTAAAAGTAAAGTGAAAACAGGTATAGCCAACCGGAACGAGCAGTTTTAGCATTAATTTGGGAGGAATCCTTTCTTCCAGGGTGTTTGCACAGCTGTAGCAAAGCCTTCTTCCGTCACTCAGCAGAGAGCATATAAACTGTTTTAAACTGCAGCTACAGTAAGTAAATTCTTGCTTGATTTAGTGTCCTCCAAAAGCAAATTCCTGCAGTTCCTCTCTTACATGTTTTTCTTTATTTTACTAGCAGTTTTCAGTTAGGATTATGAAGCATAAAATGGGATGTATCACTGAATTTCACATACTCGGCCACCATTTTTTCTGAAGAGAATCCAAGGTCCACTCAGAAAAAAAAAATGGACCACTACCTCATAGAAAAACTGTTGATAAATTATCCTGAAGTAACTGCAGTGTTTAAGAACATCGGCAGTGGAAAACCTTCAGCCAATACATCTGAGCCCTTGGAATTCTTTACACAACTTAAAACAGCAAGTTTTGTGTTAGACCTTTGAGGCGGATTGATTTTAGCTAAATAATTTAGTAACCAAGAGGTCTGAGGCAATACCATACTCGACGTCTTTAAACAAAAGAGGCAAAACAAACACTTCAGTAACAGATTGCAAGACCACCTTTGAAGTAAGCAGTTTATATTAGCATTCGATTAATATTCGACATGCTGAGCAGCCTGCCAAATTGCTGCTGGGAATTTGTGGTAGCCACACATACATGTAAAGAGGTGCCCAATGCTTCCCAATTAATGATGTTTTTTCCTAAATGCTACCATCTTTTCCAAACTATGCACTGCATTTACATTTACCAGGACAAATGACCGTCTCTGGATAACTTCCTTTTTAGAGATGTATTTTCAGCCAGAACAGTTCCAAGACAAGGAGGAAAAGGAGAGGAAATAATAAAAGGAGGAAGGGACTGTGGTTTTGCCCCCCCTTAATATTTACTGGATCCCGTTTCTTCAAGTGAGTTGACTTCTGTCATGATCAAGGGTCTGGATTTTGGAGGCTATCAGGTTTCCGGCAAATCATGTTCTTTGCCATCTCTGAAAATCCACCCAAATTAAGGCTTCAAAATTATTTACTGCTAAAATACCTAACATAGACAATGTCTTACCACAGCCTTACTCTTTCAGATAGACTTTAGACTGAGAATTGTTGAAACCTGAGCTTCTGGCCCTTTCAACAACACAAGCCCTGTACTTGCACTTTTCTGACCACAGAGCTACAAGTGGTGGCAAATGCGGCAATTGCTCAGTTTCAGGTACGACAGACACGCTCCCCAGCCAACCTCAGCTACCTTAGCCCTGAGGACAGGGCAGTCAAAAGCATATCTGGTGCTTTTCCTTTGAGCAGCCACAGTCAAACCATAAGCAATACTTACTGTTTCATGACATCTGGAGACAAGTGGCCTGAGAGTGCCCAGGAACAAAATTAAAATTCTGGAAAACACATTCTTTAGTGTGTCCAGAGCACCCTGATACCCATTAAAAAGAGGGAGAAATAATTCAGAATAATGACCTAATGGAAGTATTACTTATACCTATACAGCATTTATTTCAAAATTTTCTCCTCAGCCCCTTTCTTACCTCCTCGTCCTCCTCTTGAAAGAGCAGCTAGAGAACAACGGAATTTTGAGTTAGCATAACCATGTATTGTAAGAGCCCCCACTGGTAACCATAGACAAAAAAAACCCAAGAAATTAAACACCTTCACATCATCTCTAAATTTCTCTTTTACATAGTCAATTCCTCTTCAGATATAAAGATGTTTGAAGGAAGGAAAAATCAAAAAACAAATGCAATTTCGCATACTTGCAGCTGGCATATTACATACACAAACCAATCCCAATTGAAATTTTCATTCACGTTAAATACTCTGAAAAGATAAAAGAATATTTCAAACACCACAGTGATTCACTAGTCACAACACAACTGTGCAGTTTAGTAGACGCAACCCCCACTCCTAAACTAAACTTACTGTCTTCTAGGTTTAAAAATACAAATACAAAATGCACTTCTTATATGCAGTGCATAAATGCAGGAAAGACCAGCAACTACCAGTAGCTTAGACCAAGCCATGTTCCCTGACTCCAAGTGCTCCAAATACTCTCCCACTGCGGAATTTCTGCTTTCGTTTGGTTTTGACATCCTTATTGTCTTCGGGCACAGTTTTCCCAAGGTTTTCAAGAAGTGTTGTTTGGTCATTGCTCACAGAGTTCCTGTGGAAAGTATAATGTTTTCTCCCCTAGCAGGACCATACTTTCCCATTCTGCAATGATCTCCAGAGAGATCCTTAATAAGAGATCCTTAATCTGTTTTCCTCAGGTCTTTGGCACCTTCACAAACAACAGACAAGTTTACCAGGGTCATGACTGCCTGTAGCAGGTTTAAGTCATTTGTTGCAATGTTCACAATGCTCCTCTGTAACTCCTACTCTCATCACACGACTGCTAAGATAACTGCCTTCCTCTCTTTTGCTCAGCATAGTGTCCTCTGCCACACAAGCCTCAAGTTTTCAGGCAGATCTATATCTGAAAAGCTTCCTATTTGACAGTGACTACCTATTTGGTTCTTTCAGTAATTTCAGTCTTGATAAGCTTGCAAGGGCATCATCTTTGCGACCTATATTCTGCTGTCACACTCAGCTGAAATGGGCTCAGGATAATCCAAAATTACTTGGAGACTGGGAGATGACAGAAGACCGGCAGAATGGTGAAAGAGGACAGAGACACATGCAGATCATCTGACTTTATTGAGCCTTGCTGTTACAATCAGCCAAAGGAAAGGCTTTTTAAGGAACTAGCAAATCCTCCTGAGCCAAGATGGGGGAAGGACTGAAGTATACACTTGAAATACAGCAAGAAATCACACAGCAACTCAGAAAACTATGTCTAAAGAAGGGCTACTCAAATAGCAGATTCTAGTCTGGATCCAGATGGCAAATTAATTGTGGAACTATGGCAAATACAAAAAGAATGAAATGAACAGACACTCAACGCATCTGCAAACCCATGGTAAAAAAGAATAAATCCAACTCAGCGCAGCTCTTCATTTGTTACCTATTAATGGCAGAAGCAACCCAGGGCTGAGACATTAATGTGAATGTGTATTTGCATCAACCAAAACGGTATTCCCATGGTACGGGGAAAGAGGTGCCAG